ATTACTATCGAAACGTCCCCGTGCAAGATGAATAACGCGAGATTTGAGTTTGCGTAAACTAGAATCGAGGAGGAGAGAGCGAGAGAGAGGGACGGTCGAGGGGGATGGCCTCTAGAGAGAAGATACTTCGGTTTTCGGAGATTTACGAGCCAACTACACGATAAGAGATTTTGAGAATCTAGGATGAAGCTCTCCGATGCCCTCTTTGTCCGTTCAGATTTGGCCCTTCGATCCGATCAATTTTCTCTCTCTTTCTCTCCCTTTTTTGTCCTTTTCCCCTGTTTGTTCGACGTGATAGCTGACCGACGAATCAAGTTTCTATCCTACCTACGTGAACTCCGAAATGACGCCGTTATCATTAAGAATGGTCTTATCGGTCGTAGGGAGTGACTATTATCTCTGAGCTGTTTCTGCCACCCGTCCAACGAAGACGTTCTCCTTTCTAGATATAACCTCGTTGGTCGAATCTGGAAAGTCCCGGTGGTTTCGCGGGAAGTAAAGATCCACAAATGTTCTTTGATATCACAACATTACGTGATATCGAATAAAACGTAATTGCAGCTAGAAGTCGCTAGGAAAATCAAATTGTGTTTCTACCGAAAAGAGAAATAAAAATTTCGCGCGCGATTTTCTCTCGAGCTTTTACTGTTCACCCTTTACTTTTGCTATCAAATATCCATATGAAGGATTGAAAATGAAATTTTTGTCTTTATAGACGCAATTTATTTGCATTTAAACCCTAATAATAAATAATATATTGGTAATATATTTATCTTTTAATTTTTTTAATGACATCTTTGGTGAAAAATCTAATATTATAAATTCTTTTCTTTAATTTTTGATTCTATTAAATACATATCGATATTATCATTGAGAGTTGTAGAAGTTTTGAAACTGACATTTCTAAAACATGTTTGAAATATTATAAGCTTCAATATTCGAAATAATCACTTTAATATTTGTCACGATGTTTGATGAGCGAAAATATTTTATGTTGATCGCGTGTGTAACGCAATAAAAAAATCTTATAAATTCATTACAAAAGATGTAGATTAATTTAAAAACATAATATATAGAGAGACGGTCTTTCTTTCGCCGTCTTTTTCCATCGAGCCCTAGTATTCAGCCTATCGATCTGTGGAATTTTTTGTATTGCCGTTACTTTCGCGACGATCCCTTCGTCAGCTAAGAGAAGGTAAACATCGTAAAAAAAATTCGCACTCACCCCCGAGTGTTTGCTTAGGTCCCGCAAGAGGAATATCATCTCATTATGTTGTTCGAAGAAATTGGTGACATAACTTCGGGATCATCCATACTCTGAAAATAGCACATCATAATTCTCACAAATGTTGATTAATTAAATGCGTATAAAACTGTATTAAATTTTATATAAAAAATATAATAAATTATATATAAAAAGATGTATAAATAAAATATTTAATAGAATGAATTAGTGAAACGATAGTGATCTTATATCTTGTACAACAGTTTAAAGCCGTATAAGATGAGCGAACGAGTTTTGAAATCGTATAATTTCTCCAAACGAAATTTCATAGCACGACGAAAAAGCAGCCGAAGGTCTATAAATCCAAAGACAGATGGCCTTTGGACTTATCGTGAAAAACGTAATCCGACAGAAAACGTTAGCGCGGCTATTGTTATCGACTACGGACAAACATACCGTGGTCTTGGAAATTATTACAGGATATATTGCTAAATTATAGTAGCTTTGGATTTAACACAAGCCAACGGACGGGCAAAAGGACGTGCTCGTCTCCGCGAAATCGTAAAACGGCTAGTTGTGCGCTTAACCGGAAAGCTAGCGGCAATTTTATTTTTCCCGGCAATTCTCTCTCTCTCGGGCACGTTATTTTTAAGCGGTAGCAGAGGAAGCCCGGTTTACCATTATATAGAATGCGGCGAAACAAAGGAAATCACAAATATCTTCCGCGAAATCCCTTTCCCCATCTGCCTTCCCGGAATAATCTAAAAAGGGTAAAAGGTCAACTTCCGTTTTCCTGAATGAAACTAGCCTTATAAATGCATTCACTTCCTGTTTTGTGATAATACACAACATTTTATAATCAATATTAATATAATGTGCAATTTTACATTGTGTGGACTGGTACAAGAAAAACTAATCGAAATAAAATCGAGATTTGCAATCAGCTTTATAAAAAAAATATCGGCTTTATTATTAAAAATATTTTTAATTTGTCAACCTTTTTGCGAATTATTCAAATATAAATTTTTGAGGGCCTTTATTTTTTAGCCAAGTGCTTAGAAAATATATTCATTATTATTGAATTTGATTGATTAATCTACATTTCCCTTGAAACTAAATATAAGTAATTATATAGCATTGTAATTATATGGTTTTTATTGTACATCTATAATATACTATAATACATCTTCACATTTATTGTCAATAGTCGCGGTTCAATATTTACTTTGCTTTTATTTACGTCCGACAGAGATTCTCTATATCTTTCTTTTCCTATATATTTTTTTCTTATTTTATCTTCTCTTTTTTGATTTGTTTTATTTACACACTTGTATAACAAATATATATTCCTGCAATATTTTATTTAGTCAAACATTAGACATGTATAGACTTCAATTGAGCTTTTGTAAAATTAATCTCAATCCACGCAGCTTTAAGCGCGTTAATATTGCTCAATTTGCAATGATGATTAATATTGTTTTCCTCGAGAATTTTCTGACAGATTAAGTTGACGGGATAGATCAGCCGTGTCTACGTAGAGCTATGCTTCGGAGGTCAGGATTAGTAAAGTTCAGTTGATGCCGGAGCAAGCCCCGGGGAAGGAGAAACGATCCCTAAGCGAGTGATAAAATTCCTTTCCAAGTTATATTAACGCCGTTAGTCGTACCCACGGTGCCCCTGAACGAACTTTAATCGTGAATAATGAAGGAGCCCAGCGGCGATTATTTTTCTCACAGAAGGGACTGGCGGCATTAGACGCAGCTCTCGAACTTTGGCGCGGGACCATTTTTTTGCAGTTCCCGAAGAATCTTTGTCAGACGGGGAAATAGATTTGACTTCTTGCTCGTTGTTTGATTCTGGATATACTTATCGTAAATTATGGTATTTAAAGATGGTCGAGAGAAAGAGGGAGAGAGAGAGAGAGAGAAAACCTTACACACTTTCCATTTAAATTGTAAAATTACGGCTCTGAAAGTCTCTTCATTTATTAGGACAAATGATCAATTTCCTAAATTTATTTAGTTTTACACATTATTTTAAATTGAAAGCAAGCTTGACATGAAAAACGCACTTATTCTTGAGGCTTTTAAATGTAAACATTCTATTTTTTTAAGTATAATTCTTTAAACAAATAGTAATTATATTATAATTATTATTTACACACACACAGAGGCTGTTTATTAAGACATGCACAGTTGTAATAATACAAAAACAGATTTCTCAACCGTATTACGCCGCTATCAGCGTCGGCATGTAACAAAAGTTCTTTAAGTAGCTTTATAAAAGGCGAATAGCTTCATTTGTAATAGCGGCAGACAAAACCGTCGCTTGTGATGGTAACTGTTAAAGCAAATAATAAATTGGCAGATAATGCCTGAAGGAAGATACCTGAAGAAAATGCACAAAGAATGCTTGCGTCAGCTATCATCTGTATAACTTGCGGACGGAAAGAAAAATAATATGGCTGTGTTTTCGACATCGGTATAATTCACTCTCGCAGAATATCGTACTATTTCCAATAATTAATACTGCCGATTATTGCTATTGAAACTTACTAAAAGATCGCGACAATATGACAACGTTGAAGGGAAACAACAATAACAAGGGAACAATAGAAAATTTTGAAAATAATTAAAATTGCATAAATATAATAGATATTAAAAAATTGAAACGACTAAAATTATTTACGATAAAATTGTTTATTAAAAACAATGAAAGGATAAAAAAAGATGTAAAATATTTAGCATTTAAATATTTTACTTTTATATTTTTTACCGACTGTTATATTTGTATTAACTATATATGTTTTCTTGTTATTATGTTCTTTTATCATTACAATTTAATTTCACTAAAATAATAGCGTTAAGCCAAGAACAATGTTAATTAATTTCTACACAGAACTCAATAATCGAATTCTTGTACAATCGGACAGATTATTGTTTTACGCATTGCTATGTATTTAAAATTTAAATACATGGTATCAAAATCGAAATTTAATGCTATTATTCGTCGATTATTTGCTACGCCAAGTGCGTTCAAAGAGAAGTTGACAGGACGGAGGACCCGAAGGAGACTTAGCCAGAATGGGGTGCTATAATCTCATTTGCGAAGTATAGTTGGTGCATAATTCCTTGCAGTGAGTAGCATAACTTTGTACTCTCTCCAAGGAACTGTACCAAACTGGCACAGCCTACGGGAGAATATCAACTTTGCAAACTCGCGACTAGCTGGGTTGACGGCGATGTACTTTCCCATATGAGATGCTTGATTCCTGCAAATAATTTCTACAACATCTGCGGACTTGTCGCCTTTATGAGCAAATTAAACACGTTGTAAAAATGCTCCGTATTTGGATTCTACATCATGCAATTTAACTTGTGACTGGAATATCTTCTCTCTAGCAATATTTAATTAACTATAATGTTGGAATTTTAATATTTCGATAATTTATATAATTTTATATTGTATTATTCTCTCTCTGATAAAATATTTTCTTTTGTATATGACTCTTCCAAAAATCTCTCAACAAATTTGCGAAATATTTGATGTAAAAATGTAAACAATCAATCTAACAAACTATTGAATATTAGCATATGATGTCATATATATACGTAACTTTATATATATTGTCTGAGTAATCTCATTTTCCTCCTTTATGGTCATTAAACTTAAGTCATAGTAGCGTCCATTGCCATCACTTTAGCGTGACTGGCTCGGCGGGATACTTAAGATGCTGCAAACCCCTAACAAGCCCTCTTGTCTTCTTTTTCTTTAGACATGCTACGAGATGGAGAGGTACCTGAAGGACGAGCCGAAGCTGCAATCGTATAAAAAAATCCCCACGGAACTGGACACGGCGCCCTGGAACCTCTTCAGGGCGCCATCGATCTCGTGGACGACATCCACCGGAACGAACGCACAATTCGACCCCCCAATTAAAATGGAGGTACGTAACTAGATAATGTTTGCTATTAACTTTGTTACTATTAAATCGTTTCAAATCATATTTTTATTTCGTATTTAGATTTTAAAATATTTAATATAATAATAAAAATTTTCTAACGTCATATTTTATTTTATTTTTTTTTATTAAATCATATTTTTTGTCATTTTATATATTTATTTATTTATTTATTGTGATATATATCTTATAAAATATTGATAATTTTATTAGCCTCCCAGAAGAATTAATCTTTATTAGTCTCTCGTGAGCATTTTAGAAAATTATTTCAGTTTCTTGTTTTTAATCAGGTGACGACGTCAGACGAGAGGGATCCCCTCTGTTTGGACGACATCAAATTCAGTCCCGGCGATCATAATGATAATGGCCGTGATAGGGATCTTCTCGACCGTCACCTCGATTCCTTGTCGATGTCTTCGGCAAGTTCGGCGTGTTCAGCACTGTCCTGGGACAGCTCACCTTCCCTTTCTTGCACGGCAGTCATTCTCAAGAAGGAGCCCAGCGAAGACCTCGAGGAGGATGAAGAACATGAGGTACATTGTAAATTCTTAATTTTAATTAACAATATTCTCTATTTTGAATTTATATATATTTTATTTTTAATTTAATGATAGCTGGTGCGTGTCAAAAATTAGATATCGTATAAAAAATAATTCATCGCATCGTGATTAATTTTTAATTCGTCTATTGTAAAGTAGAAATATTATTTTTGTTTTGTAATGCATAAATAATAATGTAATAGAATACTCGACAAATCTTGATGTATGAAATTCTCGAATCTAGAAAAATTATTATTGATAATATATTGTTATTATATTGGTATATTTTTTGTATATAAATATTATTTATTGTTAGAATCATATTATTTTTTTAAATTTGTTCGCGTGGAAAATATTAAAAATTCGATAGTGCATTCTTATGCAATTTATGCTTCAATGCAATGGATATAACGAGGTTGCTCGATTCTTGACGATTTATTTGTCTGGCATTAAAGTTCAATGCGACTTTTAGCGACTCGCGGAGCGTGCATCGATTCCGTTATCATAATCTTGCATAATGCACGCGATTTTACCGCTGCAGGAGATCGAGGAGGAGGAAGACAGCGGGTGCGAAAGCGAAGGTCAGATCCTGACGCCACCGTCGAGTCCTGGGTCGGGTCAAGGTCATTCCAACTCCAGTCACTCGTCGAGTGGGAGTTCGATGCCCGACGTGCACAACCTCAACCTTCATGGCACGGGTGGCAGGAGTGCTATCGTCAGGGTTACTGCCGGCAACGCGCAAGGTGTCGCAAGGTAGGCGTCATAAATTCGCGAATCGCACGCCATGTTAGGCGATCTACGAAACAAGCATCCGGTCGCTTTGACATCTCTTTTCACTGCTGTTATTTTCGTCGAATAAAAATTTAATTGGCCCTAAAATTGAAAGAAGCGACGGTGAAACCACGAAAGACGGATGTGCCGTAGTTATGTCTCGCTCGGAAATTATCTTGATTAACCGTAACCGGAGTTATCTGATACAAAGTGGCCACGTACGCTTTCCGGGTCGGTTTAAGCCATCTAGTTCTCGTTCCCGGCAATTTTCTACGGAGGAATTCACAAATAAAAAAAAGCTACGAGGGTTCGTTAAAAAAGTCCCGACATTGTAAAGTCGGGAAGTAGTTTCTGAAACATCGTAAGCTCTCGCTGCGCCGATCAAGAAGCGTAAAACAATTCGCTCCCGTAGTCCATCATTAGTCCATCGCCGGAATTGCGCTCCTCCGTGATTCACTCGCGTTTCTTTCCGAGCACGAGACGAGACTTTACGCCGATTACTCGTCATTCCACCGATCACGCTATTCCCTGGTTCGCGCGCGTTAAACTCGCCGAGGAAACGAACCGCGACACGCACAGCCCGTTGGAAACGGTTCGAAACGGGACCCGGCACGTCCGTCGTAGCGCGCAACGGACTACCAATTATTATCAGGCTAGTGCAGCCAATGAGAGGGAACAAATCGCGTTTTTTGCAGACTGATCTCCGTCACGGCGAACGGCTTCCCCGCGGTCGCCGGCACGCAACACGCACACGCGGGTGCGACCGCGGCCACAACCACCGTGGCCAACAGGCACCACGCGAGGAGCAACGAGCACAGTCCGCCCGACACGAAGCGCAGGATACACAAATGCCAGTTTCCCGGATGCAAGAAGGTGTACACCAAGAGCTCGCACCTCAAGGCCCATCAAAGGACGCACACGGGTGAGTGAATCGATGCAAACTGCATTGTATCAGCTGATTCGAAGCCGACTCGTGTATCGAGTCCGTCCGATGAATTAGCCACCGGTCGGGATCGCCACCGGTCCGAAATAATCCGATATAGTCGGTCGTGACACATCACGCGAACCGAAATAATCGCCGGAGTAGTCGAGTTGAGCTATTATTACGACGAGTTACACGCGTACAGTAATGAATATTGCTCGCCGAGAAGCGTTTACAAGCACGTCAGCGCGAGTTGCGACAAATTTTTCAAACCGCCACGTGACACTTGTGCTACAGGAACAACGGGCGCATAATTAATTATAGGTATCCCGAATTAGAGATGCTTCGTTATTCGATGCGTTCGCGGGATCATCTCGATAATGAAACCAAATGTAACGCTCATACATTCGCGCGTTTATTTCTGATGGGCTCAAAACATCCGCTCGACATCACATGCTCTTTTAATTGAGTACGAGCATTTTTTTCCCGCTTCATTGTATTCATAAATTCCCTCAAAAATAAAATGTGACACTGTATATAATGTATGACGTGAATATTAGAATTTTATTTTAAATTCTTATTTTAAATTCGATCTTTCTATTTTTTTCGAGCTTTTTTGTTTATTAAATATGAAATGAACGATACATATATGAATTTAATAGCTTTAGTAACTTATAACTTAATAAATATGTATCCAATTTCGAAAAAAACCTACGAAAATGAAATAATTGCAAAATGATTTTGTTGAGAAATTAGTTACGTCGATCTATATCCAACTTTTATATTATGAATTCTATTTTTACTTATCATATTACATTATACTCATTGTCAAATATAATACTATATAATAATTTGCTACCTTTACTGTTTGTGAAACGAGATGAATTTTTTTATCAATCGTTACAATTCTTTCCGAGAAAATGGGGCGAAGTTCTGCTCCATTATAAAGAGAGATAATGTCCTTGCTACTTCCGTGATTCACTGTTGACGGTGCACGTTACTGTCCTCGAACGCGATATTAGCATGGTTCTCTCCTCCTTCCTCGCACGATCCTCTTCGTGGTCGCTTGCGGTGAGTGATGGCAGGCAGAGAGATTGTAATTAACGAACTCTCCTGTTTTCCTCGTCTCTTTCGCCTTCCCTCTTCTTTGCACGGTCCTCATCCACCACCTCCTTTTCTTCCTCCTCCCCCGGTCGCTCTTTATCCACGCTTTTTGTCGCGTCACTCTCAAGCTCTACGGTTTCGCCAGTACGTACGGTATATACTCTGCGGTACGTGTCCTCGCGCTTCTATGGGTTCCCTTGTACGTGTAGTTTAGGCTACGGTTTCCAGCCCCGTTTGCGGAGACGGCGAGGGTGAGAGCGAGGGAGGTAATAAGGGATGGGTTAGCCGGGGACGCCTCCATCCTGCAGCGTAGCAGGTACGTCGGGATTGCTTCTCGCGGATCGTTAAGCAGAACTGCTAACTACGGGATTATGCATACTACGGGACTCGTCCCGCAATTATGACTCTGTTATGAATTCGTCCTGACACAAGGATCTCTCTGTCGGCGAAACGGCTGCGCCAGACGACGGACGGCGGTTCTCGCCCTAGGACCTTCATCCCGACACATTTACGCGAAAAAGGTGCAAAAGCATCCTCGGATATCGGTTGCATCGCGTTCCTTCTTTTTTCTTTTTTTCTTTTTTTCATCGCTTCAACGTGGTATTTCATACTGTCACGATGTAAGCATCGAATATATTTGCTTCTCGATTAAAATGTCCTCTTCTGTATCGTGAATTTTCTTTCGAGATTCTTGTCTTTTTTTCTTATCATATATGTTCATTGTAATTATAGAACGATCGAAATGCAGTATTTATGAATAAAATATGGCGAATATTTTTTTTTCGTGTGGAAAAATTTTATTAAAATACTTTCTTTAAGGATATTTTCTTTGATTTTACATCATCTACTAATAATTAGTTTTTGTTGGAGGGCAATTTTCTAAACGCATATTTTTAAAATATATCTATATTATTTTTTAGATTATAAAAATATTTCAGCGGACTAGATTTTTTTCATATAGCGCAATTAATTATTCTTTTATATATTTGTTTATATATTTATATATTTATTTTATATATTTATTTATATAAAAGAAATAAGTAAATCGAATTAAAGCAGGATAAAAACATTGGAAAATACATTTGTGTCTCGCAAAGTCAAAGAAATAATTGCTACAATTGCTTCTGTACTTATTGATTATATCCATTCGCCGCATGAGGGGATTTCCACCGTGATTTCGACGTTGAAAAAGTTGGACGAAATCCCCTTTCCGAGTTCGCCGCCGGGAGAAAAACACGACCGCGCCGAGGAACTTCGAGAAGCGAGGCTTTTCGCGGGGATGGAAATGACGGTAGACTTTGATCTCACTCGATGGAATCTAATTACCCTGCGGACAGGAACTTGCAGTAGCGGGACACGAAACGAAGCGTGTCGTCGATCGCGAGTCGACGACGGCGACGTGAAGGTTCGTTACGAAATCCATCGGCGAAGTTTCTCTTCGGAAGGAGAGATATCCCTATTTCTGCTTGATCACGTCTCTTACGTTTGACGACAGACACGACACGTCTACATCTGCCGGATCACGTTAACCAAGACAATGGGCTTAGCACCGATTTCGCGATGCGATCCGATTAGACGACTCAACAGTCAGAATCATCGTCTACGTTTGCTAATTCTCCCTTAACGAACTGATCAAACGTCATCGTCAAAAGGAAGCTCGTTTCTCTTGCGATCAATCTGTCGCGATCGATTTTTCATTCCTTGAATGCGCAGAATTCGTTTATAACGAGTGTCGAAGAGAATCTTTGAATTATTCCTTGGATCTTGCTGATTTAGCACCTCGTAATAATTTTGCATTCTTGTGCAGGTTATATTTATTGCGAAACGTAATTTTCCATTGGTCATTTAAAATATATCATTCAAATCCGCGAGTTAAAGCTTATGAATCAGTTTGATATTTTAACAATGGAATATCCAAAGGTTTTGATCAACAACAAAAAATGTTTAAAATTTATTGTTTAACTTTTCTACATGATCATTTTTTATACAGATGTCAAGGAACGTATTATATATAAATTTTTGTGGATTTTTTTCAAAGAAAAGATTAAAATAGCTAAGAGACAATTGTTACTTATATGCGATCAGGAACAGAGCAAAAAAAAATGTGTGATTTACAAGGGTTAATTAAAACGTTTAACGGATTTTAGTCAAAGAGGCTAATTTGAGCGAAGCGCGGAAGTTCGCTTGCGAAACGGCCGCGATTTTTCACCGTCACTCACAGCGCAGCCAGATTCGCGTAGAATTTGTGTAACGCGCAATGAGAAGAGAGTTCCGTAATCACGTTAATTATAAATCGTAAAGGGAAATGAAAGGAAGCAGGGAGGCTGGTTATAGAAATGATAATACCGGGGGGGAAAAATCCGCGGATAAACTCTTTATCGTGTCCCCGTGGTATCTTTACAAGAATAAAAATGGACTAATTCCTCCTTTTTTCTTCTCGTGCTTATCCTTCTCGCGTATTAGATTCGCGAACGGATCCTTTCTAGCGCTGGGAATCTCGCAGGGCTCCCATATCCGATTTTCCCACGGGGTGTCAAGGAATTATCGATCGCCGGCCCGCAGCCTCACATTGGCTGTGTATAACGGCAAGAGAAAAGAGGGATGGAAAGGTAGGAGAAGAGAGAGATTTCCAATTACAGGGACTTTCCGTTCTGGAATTCCATTCCGAACGTCATTGTTCTCGTGTCGCGCGCCGCGGACAGGATTTTGATCCTTCGACGATCGCGAGAGTCCGATCGCTTCCACCGAGACACTTAACAGTCCTTCACTTCGTTTCAGAAAGTGGATCGTCAACATATATACGGTGAAACTTAACAAAGAGAGCGATTTTATTCTTCTCTGGATTTAATCGACGATCGCGATTGCGTGTCATTACAGGAAATGAAATATTAGCATTCCTCGACTTACAAAAGCGCGAAAACGCTCATTCTAGAAAATCAAAATGTGCAGCGTCATTTTTATAATTTTTATAATTTTATAATTTTTATTATTTTTAAATCATTTTTATAATTTTTGCAACGAAAAAAAAGATAGTTTTCAATAGGAACTACATCTCTAACGCGTATCCTGGAGAAACTGCACCTTTGATTTTATCGCGTTATTAAAGCTAGTTGTACGATATTCGAAAATCGAAAGGGGAATATAAATAATTCGAGGATGACGATGCACATCCTACGCATATATCGGCGTATATTTTTACGCGATTGAAAGCTTCACGTGTGTGTACGAAGAGTACACGCGGGGGGGGGGGGGGAGGCGGTTACGATCGCGGAAAGAGAGCCGGTCGAGATTACGTACGGAGATCAAAGTAGGTCAGCCAAAGTATAATAATTTAGCGTGAGAGCGCTTTGGAGAAACGTACAGCTTTCTGCGATCTTAAATCAAATGAAGAATGGAACGAGCGTCGGCTCGGCTCCCGGGGAAGCTTATTTATCAACGTAAGCTCGCGACGATGAATCCGCGCTGTCGAAAACAGTCTGCTTATATACATTACTTCTGCATTTCCTTAGACGCGTCGGTGTATCCGCGAACAATAGGATTCGGGAGTATCTCGCGCCGGGGGTGAGATAGGTAGGGTGGGGGGGAGGAGCGAGGAGGGAGGGGGGACGCGGTATAATCGAATTAACCATAAATCCAGCACATTTCCGCGCAAATGGATATCCGTGATTTATATTCGGTGAATGGTCTGCAGCGTGAAAGAAACGAGCGACGCGATCGCCCGGTTAAAACATGACGATGAAATAAGAAATAAATTTGCAAAACAGAGCAACGGTCTTCTTAAGTCTCCGGTGTGTTTCCGGCACACGGGAAATATATCAGTTCCTTCCGCGATCGATTGTTTCACTCGCTCTCCATTATTCCTCCCTCTCTCTCGTCCTCGTCTCTTTCCTTTTTTT